TGTCAGGGAGCTCTTCTGGCCTGCCCTTCTTTGCAGCCCAGCCTGTGGGTGATGGGGATCAGGAACCTGGCGTGGGGCCCAGGGCTGAGCCTCTGGAAGGTCGTGTGGGTACGTCATGGCTTTTCCCCCTTGGAGAGCTGCCAGCTCAGAGCCCAAAGCTGGGCCAGCCGGGCACCTCTGCAGGGGCCAGGACAGAGACGTGCCCGTGTGTGCCCTGTCCCCGTGGGATCCCCTCAGCCCTCCTGCCCCTCAGGGCTGCCCGTGCAGATTCTCAGAGATGACAGAAGCTTCTCTGGCTGTTCAGTTACAGAGGTGTCTGCTGGAAGGACTTTTCCAACTCCTGAACTGATTCCTCTGCACAAGCCCAGCTCACATGGCAGGGGTGAGTAGTCTGTCCCTGCTGAGCTCACAGGCTGAGCTCCAGTTTTCTCTGATCTGTTCATGTCAAATGGATTCCCCTTCAGGTCCTCCAACAGCCAAGAACCAAGATCCAGGAGAGAAAAAATCGTTTAAGTCAAATGAAGTTGTGAAAGAAATTTTGAAGGAACTGCAGAAAGGGCACGGTGGGTGTGTTTCCCTCAGGCTGAGCTGTGAGACTCATCAGTAGGGGCTTTAGATGCTCTGATGGAGAACAGCTCCATCTGATCCAACTGTCCCTCTTGTTTCCCCCAGAGATGGACCAAGAGGCTCTGTGGAAGGCAGCATTCCCCAAAGGAAGCAGTGGCTCTGTGCCAGGCTCTGCTGAAGGAAGGGAGGCGATGCCAGGCATGGGCACACAGGGTAATTGCTGTGGCGTGCTCAGCCGGTGTGGGCCATCGGGGTGGCTGTGGCAGCAGCTCTTCCCCAGTTCCCGCTCGTGCCTGTCACGGCATGAACTTAGTCAGGGTTTTCTCTGTGTGCGGGAGAGAGCCTTGGCTGCTCCAGCCACTCCTCCAGGGATGTTTCAGTGTGTGCGGAGTGGGCAGAGCGACCAGGAGCCAGCCCAGAGCTGCCCAGGCCCCTCTGCAGCTCTGGCCATGTCCATTGACATCTGGCCCCCACAGTGCTCCCCGACCCCCCTGCAGTGCCACAGTTCTCTGAGGCAGAAGGGGATCCCAGCATGCAGTGGAAATGGTTCCCATCTCTGTTTGCTTCTAGATGAGAGTGCTGGGAATGCTTC